GGTCCCTAATTTAAGAAAAACTTGTGGTCACCCACCCGCACTCTGACCGCAGCCAGTGATGCTTGACTTCGGTGATCTGCTGGGAACCGTGTCTCAATGATCAGTCCATTGCTGGACGAATACTTGGATAGAATTTTTGGTGGTGACTGAAGTTTATTACGAAGATGACGGCCCCTACGTAATTTGTTTCAGGTGTCACAATAAAAATAATATTTTCTTCATTTGAATCCATTTGTAAAACATAATTTTTAAATTATGTTACATAATTTTATTATTTTCTTCATCGTTTTGGAATTGTTAATTTATGTTTGATTGTGTTCGAAATTTTGATTGGTGATAAAATGGAAGATAAGCGTTGCATTTGACATTTAAGAAGCATTGTTTGCAATATAGTCTTAGCTGTTTTGTTTCACTATTTACTACCAATCTTTTACCATTTGCACCAATCTTCGAAACCAGGAAGAAGTTCAACTGGTTCTATTGCGTAATACCTGAATGAAAAAGAAAACAACAGTGAGATGGGAAACACGGCTTCCTTTGATCTTTTAGATAGTCGATGCAAATATTTACATTTTGACCTTAAGGTCGCTTAACAGTTAACTTTGCAAAGCCACGTTGTCTATTGTAACATAGAGTTTCAATTAAAATTTGAGTAGTCTAGAAATTTTGAAAAGGATCGGAATTTGGTTTGATGATAATATTATGTCGAAGCAGGCAGGAAAAGAAAACTTGCATCGTTATTGGGCACAATAATCCAGTAGAAATAAAAGAGCTCTAGCTAGTGGAAAAGGTATCAAAATTTTGATTGATTTCAAAGTGGCCATAAATACTAGGCAATTAATTCTGTTTGTAGCCGTAAAGAAACAATTGCTAACTTTATTGTCATTCAGCACAGAGTTCCAGCTAAAATTTGAGTGCTGTAGTTATTTAATAATTTTATAACCGTCGTTGAACAGTCGATGCAATTTTGAGTTTACGACTGCCAATGTTGAACTCCGTAGCCCTATAATTTTTAACCCAATTTAGAAGACAAGGGAACTCCTTGATCAAGCATTGAAAGAAATTCGCTTCTGTGGAGGACTTTTAGATGGAACTAACCAGCATTGCCGCTACATGGAGAGGGAAACCGCGAAAACCTCCCACAGTTATCCTGACGACAAGGGTACCGTAACCCATGATCCGACTACCACAGAGGATATTTTACGTCAGCACCGTAATTGGTGCGAGTCGGGTGCAGAATTCGTATTGACCAGCCACCACTGGAATTCGAACCTGAGACACCTCATTGGAATGTGAGCGATTTATCCCCAGATTATTCTCAGATAGATGCCCTATTTATTTGAAAACTAGTCGGAATTAATAAATATCCTTCGGTGATAATATTCTGTATTTGAGCCAGATGGCTCAGGGGATAGATCTTTCGTTTTCCAATGAGGTGAACCGGGTTTGATCCAGGAGATGGCTGGTCGATACGAATTCCGCATCCGGCTTGCACCGACCACAGTGCTGACGTGAAATATACTCAGTGAAGGACGGATCATGGGTTAGAGTCTCTTTGCCATCAGACTAACCGTGGGAGGTTCTCGTGTTCTTCCTCTCCACGTAACGCAAATGCGGGTTAGTTCCATCAACGAAGGCAAATTTCTCCCAATACTTGATCCAGGAGTTTCCTTGTCTTCTGGATTGGGTTCAAAATTACAAGGCTACGGAGTTGAACATTAGTAGCCGCAAACCCAAAAAATTGGGTCGGCTGTTCAGTGACGGTCATAAAATGAAAATAAATATTCTGCCTTTAGCAATCTGGCAACGTTTAAACATGGCACTGCAATCAGGCACCGAGTTTCAAAAAGATTTGAGAAGTCTAGCTAGACAGAAAATGATCGAAATTTCGATTATAAAATTCAATTGTCCATTATTTTTTTTAACTATTATTACCTTACGAATATAAAGATATTCGTTCATGAAATACTTACTTCAGGAACCTCACACCAGAGGGTCCTTTGGCCGCCTTCTCCATGTACCAAATCCATGGCTGATAACTGAGACTGTAGAACGGGTGGACGAGAAGGAGGAAGATAATCCGAATCGGAAAACTTGCTGGAGGCGTCATCTTCGAACTCGGATTCAGAAACATCGGCTGAATATCCAAGGGTAGCTCTCTGCTGAACATCTCTCTGGTAAAATTGATACATGGGCTCTTCTTCGAAGGGAGATTTTAAAAGCTGCAAAAAAGGAAGTTTTTAGTTGTCACTCTCATTTTTTTTAAGATTAAAAAAATATATATATATAGTTTTAGTTACATATTAAAAAAATACACATAAAATTAATGACAATTTAGAAGATATGTTATATAGCAGGGGTGGCCAAGCTCCTACATAGTCGAGCCATTTTCTAAAATTTGAAATTTTTCGCTAGCCGCAATTAAATACGTATTTAAAAGGTATTAAAAAAATTTTTTTACATAAATTATATTTATTGAAAACATATAAGTAAAAGTACAAAATATGTGTATTGCATTTAAAATTAAACACATTTATTTTACTTATTGATAATTCTTTAAAATTTAGTGAATAATTGGTGACAGCACTTCTCAGTAATTCTTTGAGATGCTGTTTAGTTTATACTGATCGGTGTTTGTATTTCGCGAATTTTAAAGTGGAATAAAATGATTCACATAGGTAAGTTGTTCTGAATATTGAAATAATTCGACAAGCAGCCTTTTTTAATTTAGGATACTTCGATTCTGGTACAAATTTCCAAAATTCAGTAATCGACGGCGACTTATATTTTAATAGTAGAGTTTGATCTTCTTGCATCTCTATTAATTCTAATTCTCCAGATGCTTTTTGTGTCATAATTATATTGAAAACAGAAAACTCACCTTGAATTGAAAAACGTTGCACTTAGTCTTTCATATTTGTTCTCAGTAATTAAAAAGACATTTTGAAACACATACGGAACGATAATAATTCTTTAAAATATAATAACTCGAAAATGAAAAGGGAACTCGAGTACATTTATCGAGAGCCACAAATAATCCTTCAAAGAGTCGCATGTGACTCGCGAGCCGCAGGTTGGCCTCCCCTGGTATATAGAATAAATTTGTCAATCATAAAATGTCTCTTCAGATTGACATACTTTATGGTAGTTTAATGAAATAAGTCAAAAAGAATGTATTTACTTTTTATCGAATAATCATAAATGCAGAAGAAAAACGGAACATTTTAATAACTTTTAAACTAATATGTCCAATCCTAAGATCATCCGAAATTATTCAAGGATCAAGAGTTTAATTATAGATATGCTAATTAATTAAAATATGCGATATTTTAAATTACGAAATCAGAAAAAAAACAGACTTCCTCTGATCGGACATTATTATTTATTTTTTAAAAAACGAATTTGCATTTGTATTATGAAGGATAGCAGCAATCTAAAAAGAAAAATGCGCTTAAGTAATTTAATCAGGAAAGCGATCGAAAGTTTGAACCTCTAAATGTTAATATCACTTTTTGCTAATGTCGCTATAACTCTGAAAATATTTCAGAAACTCAAAACATTTTTGCGCACACTTACAAAACTCCTTTTTTTCCCCAAATTTAATTCCATGTGAAAAAGAAATTGTAACAATTTATTATTTTTTAATATTTAATTTAATAAAGATATCGAAGTATTTGATTTGCAAGGTGTACAAATGTTTATCTCACTTTAAACTATGTAATTTTTAATGACAATGAAATCCAAAATTTGAAAGGTATTGGTGGAATAGTTCTTGAGAAATTTAAAAGTTAAAAATGAAGAAAATACTCGACTCCAACTTCTTTGATGTTTTTCCAGCATCTGCTAACAAGACGGAAATCGAGTTTAGATCAAACATGTCATCTTTAATCTTTTATTTTTCTAACATTCATTCCTCGATATTTCTTTATTTTAAGCAATTTGTACCCTATTTTCATTTTGCGTTTACAGCGCAATCTAAGAACCAAAATACTGTAGCCTAATTTGAGAAGTCTTTCAAAAGAATACAAAAGTGCAACAAAAAAAAAAATGGCTGCTTCTATTTAAGATTCAATTGCCTTCCGCCTCCCTACTAGGGGTTAAGAGTAGGAGGGGCTCGAGCCTGATATTATTGAGTGCATTCTTTGAAAACATTTTACTCGTTTAATTTTGTTCGATGCGTATTTCCCGAGATATTGAACCGTTTCCATACTTTTCGGACACCCTGTATAATATATACCGGTTTCCACTTCATCTTCATTAGTAAAAAAAGGGACGACCACAAGACATACGGCAACTTAAACATTATTTCAATTACCACTTTTTACACTTACTTAGATGAGACTTAATTTTAAAAAAAAGTTATGAACTCTATAGCTGTTCTAATGAGCATTAAGAAAACACCGATTTTAAAAGAAAATTCAATGTTAATTGTTACACTTTTCTTTCCATATACGTTCACTAATATTTAATTATCCCTTTTAGGATCAAATCGCAATACAGTGTACAGGGTACAAATTTAAAAACGAACCATCCTGAATAGCTTTTGATCTAATGGTGGGATCTTCACATTCTAGAATTAATTCAATCTTAAAGGTTCAAGGGGCGACCTCAAATATGCTAATTAATCTGTGCAGACGATATTTCAAGTTACGAAATCAGACACAAAAACATACTTTCTCTGAATAAACGTACCTTTTTCCGGATGAATTTAGATTTCTGACCCCTAAGATATACAGAATAGCCGCAATCTGGTGAAATATGCTCCCAATAGTTTAGTCATGAAAAATGTCTTCACACAATTAAAAAATTTGTTTATTCAAAAATAATTCCATGTAATCTATATCTTTCAGTATATATTTTAAGTTTTTATTATTTATTTAATAATAGAGGAAAAAAATTTGAATTAGTATGTAAACAATTTTTTAGATGATTTTAAAGAATGATATTTTAAAAAGCACAATGGAAAATTTGAGCAAAATCCGGTCAAATTATTTTTGTGAAACCAAATTTTGAAAAAGTCGTATTCATTTTATTTCTCAGGACCTGTTCGATCAATTTCGCTCAAATTTTGTATTTTGCCATGTTTCATTTTGTAGTTTGTTTTCTTTAAGACGAAGTAAAAAATTGTATACGATACAATTCAAAAAATGTTTCTAACTATTATTAAACAAAATAATAAAAACTAGTAAATACTCACTAAAAGTTATTTTTTTGCATGGAATTAGCTTTGGATAAACGACTTTTAGAATTGTGTACAAAAAATTTTCAATTTGTTTAAAAAATTCTTGAGATATTGGGAAATATGCAAAGGGTAAAATTAGCACTAAAGGGTTCAAACTTTGGATTGCTCTTCTGTCCAAGCAGAAGGGACCATATTTTCCTAATTGCGGCTTCCCTTATATTTTGGAGTTCACAAATCCGAAACCATCGAAAAAATAGTATGTTTATTCAAAGAAAGCATATTTTAGTGTATGATTTCATATTTTAAAATATCGTCTGCTTTAATCGTATTTGAGGTCACCCCCTAGTACCATTAAGATTGAGTCCTAGAACGTGAAGATGCGATCATTAGATCAAAAGTTAATCAAAGTGTTGCGTTTATTTATTTATTTTTTTTTTTTGCACACTGTACACTTATGCAGGTCATGTGGATTTCTTTTACAGTTAATCTATCATTTTTATTCGTATATCAATTTTAAATACCATTCTCTGAAGGTCAATGACTACACTTCAATGAAGGCTATATAATACTAATTTATTTAGCGTATTCACATAAATTTATAGCATGAACATTTCCATTTACAACAGAGCTGAATTCGTAGCATAATTTTTTACAGATTTCTAATTTAATTTTTGATTTTGATATCATCAATTCCACATGACATTAACCAATTTAAAATCATTTTTGATTAATTAGAAAATGTTGGAGATACTTTAATGCATAATTAAATTAATTTAATAATTCTTCAGAATTTCAAACGTAAACCTTAAAGGAAAAAATTGAAGTACAAAAACAAAAATTACCTCTGTGTGAGATGATTTGAATTTTGAGAACTCCAAGATGTCCATTTTCTTACGGTACTGAGGGGGAGTACCACTGGAAACAGAATCATTATCTTCTTTATTTGATAATAAATTTGAGATCCTAAAATAATAAGTGAATGATTTCGTCTTTTATATGTGGTTAAAAAGTTTTAGACATAACTAATAGCCATTATTCTACTATACCTGCTATTTGTATTTGAGTGTTGAGACTGGAAAACATTGTTTTCATGTTTAGTAGATGCTTCTTCCTCTGTAAAATAAATAAATAAAAATAAATAAATAAACAAATAATAATAATAATAGTTTCTAGGTTTCTCTTTCCGTTTAAAACTTAAAAATCTCTTCAACCAACTCATTTTTACTTCTCTTTTTATTTTTTTAAGATTTAATTAATGATATAGAGGCTACAGCCCGTTGTGGGTAGGAATGCACGCAAGTTAAGACTCCAGAATTTCGACATCAACGACAATGCGGTTAGCACTCAGCACAATACCACATTTACTACCTATCGATCTGAAGCTGGGTGAGCTTTAAGTCACCATCGAGTATTGAACCCAGGTAATTTATAATTATAATTGATGACCTTTGGCCTCTAAGCTATTGGAGCATACAATTTTATCTAAATAATTTAAATTAGAATCGAATTTAAAATCTATAATTTGAATAAGTTTTTTGATTGACATCACACATTATTGGCCATCGAAATGGGCTACAGGTGGCGCAGAGCAGAACTATCTACATATGGCAACATTTCGCATGCTTTTACCATTAGCGTGTGGATAATCATAGGGAAAGAAAGTACGTTAGATTCTGTCTCGATTTTCAAACAGATTAAAAAAATTTAAGTTAGGAAACTATATTGAACTCAAAACTGGATTAAACATAGTTCTTAACGAAAGCGTCGTGGAAATTTTAAAACATCTTTTTGACATTCAAATGCGAAAAATACTATGGAAGGGGAAAATATCATAGTATATTCCCACACAACTGAGCAGAGGTGGAGAGTGCCATGACATGGATTTGGTCTTCTCTCCAGATCGCGAATATAATAGACAAATGAAAATTAATAAGTATACATAAAGTCAGTCAGCGCAAAAGAAGTGTATAACAAAATATATTTGTATAAAAAAAAATCATTATGAGATGCAGTTAAACTTTTGTAAATTTCAAATTATTAAATAAATCATTATTTTTCTTCATACTGTAAACATAGAAAAGTTAATAAACTTTTCAACAAACAATGAGGATATATTTCATGATGTTCCATGCGACAAGGTGATGTCAAAGATTAGCATTTTATAAGTTATTTAAAACCAAGTATTTGGTTAATGAGTACCTTTTTGAAATTTCTTAAACCGAGTATAAAGTTAAAAAGAAAGGCTAAGTTTTAAGCTTAGGCAATTAGGTATTTGCAAGTCGAGAAGTCAAGCGATTATGTTTAATTGTATACCTGTAGGCAACGTCACGCGTCAAACTTAATTGGCATCTGCATCAACGAATGCCATGATTTACACACAATGACGTTGCTTACAGGTATCCAATTATCAGAAGCATTTCAATTGGTTTACAAGCAGCTTGCAATGTCTTTTATAATTTCAAATTAAGAATTGAGCATTATAGATTCATATATGATAGGAAAAAATACTTACGATTTTGGAAATATTCTGGATCTAAACAAGTGTAAAAATGAGAATCAAATGCAGGAGACACATCATCTATGAATGCAATTGGAGAAATATCTTCTTTCCCATTTTCAGTTTTGTTTTGCGTCAGCGGTGGCAACGGAGGTGGAGTTTTGGGTCGCTGTACCCGTGGAACGCAAGAAACTTTCCTAAATCGAGGACGCTGGACAAAATCTTTGCAACTAATCTGTTGTTGCAAAATTGGCTCGGATTGTTTCCTGGCCTTCAAAGTATTTTGATCAAGATCTTTGGAAGACTCGTCGTCTACAACGGAATCACTGTATGGTCTTTGCTTTTCGCGGCCCATAGTCAAATGTACATAAAACATAGCACTTTCTTTTTTTGGCGATGGTGATCTCTTCACTGGTATGCTACTCGCGCTCTTCTGTCGCAGAATACACTTGATGAATGTCTTCTTTTTGGGAGAAGTATTAACTGAGCCATGCTCTTGAACTTTCACGCCTATTTCCGTTGAGGTTTGTCCGTTCTTTTTTATTTTTATTTTATTAGATTTTGAAGAAAGTTCTAAGCGAATGTCATTTTTGGTCCACGATAAATGTCTTTTGATTTGGCTTATAGGGTTCCCACCTTTCTTTTGTTTGGCTTCGTGGGTCTCATCCTTGTCCAACTTAGAGCTAGCGACTGATTCTAAGCTTGTGAGAGAACACTGCATGATGTCCGCGGCATCTTTGTCGTCTGGAGACAGAGATATGCTGCAGTTCTCATCTGGATCTTCTTTATCACGCAAATAATTTCCAAGGCTTTCGTAAACGGGTTCATAAAAGTGGTTCGAATCTCCTAGATCATATGTACTTTCATTCTGAACCTGCAAAGAGTGACACTGCTAATCACTAAAATTCTTTTTCCATTTTGTTCTATTTAAATACATTAATCAATTATAAAAAAAATATCGGTAAACCTAAAAATAGAACATAGGAGTTTTTCTCCTAATTACACTGGGGGAAAATTCTTTTCTTGTTGCGTTAGATTTCTAAAAGATCTCAGATACTTTCGTATCACTAATTTTAAATCTGCAATCAGATTCTCTTTTTAAGATACAATTTTTTAATAACATTTTTAGTCTACTTTTTGTCGAACTGTAGAAGTTCAAAAACATTATATATAGCAGGGGGTCGCACAAATGCTGCGACAAACTTCTAGAACTTAGGATACATTATCAGGATTTAAATTGCATACGAACTTATGTCCGGAAGTGTCACCATACGCCGCTAAGGGCGTTTCCCTACTATGATTTATTTCTTCGTATGCTTCTGAGCAGTTCATAATAGGAAAGCGCTTCTAGACGCACACGACGACCTTTCCGGGCATGAGTACCGATGCAATTTTAATCCTGATGATGTTTCCCTAGAAGCAGAACTCTCCTAGGAGTTCTGCCCGCGCATGCGCGCCCTATCACGAGAGCTTTTGTACTTAGTAGAGCAGAAGATGTTTATATGTTAAAGAGAACGGCAGTCTTTCTCGAGAGGGAGTTTTACCCTATATCTACCGTTACCTTTTCTTATTTCATATTTGTGTCTAAATAAACAATTAAAAAGACACATGTTTCGTCACCTTATAATTTATGAATAACTTTTATCATCTCTATATCTCTAATATCTTAGACAAGTTCTTTTGTAACAGCAAAACGACCCCCTGTTATGTATAACGTTTTTAAAATTTGTACATTTCGACAAATAATTTCATTCAAAGAAAATCTGAAATTTTTGAAGCAAAACTAATTTTAGATTTGAAATCCCCTACCTGAATTAGGTGATTAAGATTAACAATTAATCAAAAACGGTTATCAGGATTTAAACAAATTATTACTAGCTATGAATCACTAAACACAATAAGAGAAGTAACTAATGAATAAAGATTATTAGCAAGATACCTATAATTACGAGATTAATTCGTCCTGATAAAATTAAAGTCCATTAAAAACAACGCATACTTTTATTAAAAATCTAACGGTATCGCAATGGTACATTCTAATCAGTAGGATAAAAAATAGGAATGGTGAAAACAGAGATATTATTAATCCGACATCCATAAATGTATTTTATGTGTTGACCAGGATTTTTGAGCGAGTTTCTACATCATCAAAAATAAAACATTTTTTTTTTAATGGCGGACATCTGGGGATTGTCCCATTGGCCACAGGAATGCCAGAACTGCTACTCTTTTCTCGTTACCCAGTGGAGTGGGCACCTGTGGCGAAGTCACGGCGGTGGAGCAACGTCGTCCACGTCACACAACCACAACCCGTTTATAGGGAGGGTCACATTCACACAAAGGAGAAAGGACATAGAACACACAGCGAGAGAGAGAGAAAGAAACATCCATGCCCTGAGCAGGATTCGAACCCGCGGCCAATGGCTCCGCAGTCAGGCACGCTAAGCACTCGGCAAAAATAAAACTATTATTATCGACCTTACTGCTGAATCACATCTGTCAAATATTTGAAAATCTTCTATCATTTTATCTATTATTAAGTGTATATTTATCTGTTTAGTAAGACGTAATCTCTGTGGGGAAAATATCATTTCTGTTTTTACCATTTCTGCCTTTTGTACCCTTATCATTACCTTATTTTTACCATTTGTACCCTTGTGACACCAAACCCATTTAGATTTTTAATATAATTTTACCAGTGATTTTAAATGTTTTTAATAAAATGAAAATTATTAAAAGAGTTCAAAAAAACAAAGTGATTTGTTACGTACTTTTATTATAAGCAACGCATATGCTAAAAATTTGAGTTCATTGTTTAATATTGAAAATAACTATTAATTAGTATTATATTAGTCTATAATTTATAAGTTTACAATTATATTAACTTACTACTGTGTTAGTTTACTATTATATTAGTTATCAAACGCACATTTTGAACAATGTACATTTTTAAGTCGAATTTTCAACTATATCCTTTTTTAACTGTGCATTTTGAGGTATTGTTTTGCACCATTTATGTTACACATCTTTACAATTTGATTAAATTAAAAGGGTTATTAAATTATTATTTAATTATTGTTTCATGATAAATTTAAAAAAAAAACATTGTTTTATGCAATTAAAGAGTTTAATTACCTCATCATTTATCAGTGTATCACTGGAATCGGTGAAGGAAATTGTGTCTGTGCTATAATGTCGTTTATCACCATTGATATTCTGAAAATTTTGCTGGCTCTCTTTTTGACTAGAAGATCGTTTATTTCTCCTTCTTCTTACAGTGCTGAAACAATAGATGATAGCGAAATTAATAAATGACACTAATATTCAACTTTCTTAATTCCCTAAACAAAATGAATAGAGACATCAATGAAATAAAATAACTCCAACTAGACTGAACGAAAAATAATTCTGTTTTTGTTGCACCTAAAACGTAAAGCACTTTTGAAAGACATGGGGAGCATTTTCGATGGTGATAGAAATTTATTACCTCCTACATTTTTCATTTTAGATTTGACAAAAATAGAATTATTTTTCTCTTTTTTTTGTTTTGTTCCACTGGAAAATGTAGTTTGTAATTTAGAAAAAAAAATTATTTAATGTTTTGTATATGTTAGGCTATTTATGTCAGAAGAAATCAAAATTTAGATAAGGAGATAATACTTTGCATGGGACGTTTAAAAAAACGATTGTAACTTGTATTGTCATTATGAACCTAGCTCCAGTTAAATTTGATGTACAGAATACCCTTTGTCGATAATACCGAAAAATTTATACTTCTAACAATACAAAAATGACTAAAATTTCGTTTGTTATCAGGTAAAGACCATCCACAGAGATTTGAGAATCTTAGGTAGTCAGAAAGTGGTCATCTTAAGGATTCCATCGACGCAAACACGAAAACGTTATATATATATATATATATATATATACATATATATATATNTATATATATATATTATTTTACAACTATATTTATTGAACAATTTAATTAAAGTTAAAGAAAATTCTAACTTTATTTAATTAAGAATAAGTATCGAGAAAACAAGGCAAAAATAAAAATTTCGTATCTAGGGAAGTTCATACACATTTTAAGACTTACTGACTCATTTTTTTAAAATTATTTAATATATTAACCCAATGTCAAAGTCATAATTTTTTGCTTTTAGTAAAACATTAAATGTCATGAATTAAACTAGAAAATTACTGAAGAAAATTCCTGCCGAAAATCTTTTTTTGACTACAGTTTATTATTATAATTCTTTTGGAAAACTTGTGAAACTTCAAAACGCAATGTAAAATAACAAAAACTACCAAAATTATTTCAAGTAACTCTGCCCCTTTAAAAATTTATTTTTATTTATTGAAATAGTTGCTGAAAGAAAATTGACTGATAATTAAACAACCAGAAAAAAATTTCTGGAAATAATGAGCATGTACTGTTATGTTGAACTTTTAAAAAAATGCACCTAAGGCTTACATTAAAGAAATAAAAAAATAAGCATCAGTGTTCTCCCTAAGCGTTTTTAGAAGGGCGGTCCGCCCTGCCTGCTCTTTGACACCTAAATGCGCCCACTTTGTCCTTTTTGTAAAAAAAAAAGCCACCCATCCCTAAAAGCACTGCCTTTTTATTCATATTCCATTTTTTTTTCTTCAAAAATTAATTCACTGTTTAAATAATAACTACATGCTAGTAAAATCATATGTGTTTATAGGTTTAATTACTATTACAAACATTTACTTTGCTAGAATTATTCTCAATTTGTTACATTTTTATAAGTATCTCTTTTTTCAGGAGGGGATATTAATAAATTTTTTAATGGTTTTAATTTTTGTTTAATAAATATCTTTTTTTCTGAAAAATGCAGCGTTAAATATTTATTTTTTCATAAATTTTAGTTTAAATTACATAAAAAATCCTCAACTTGTTTATCAATTAATAATTTTTTTTAGATTACTTTTTTTTGAAACAAAAAATATTCCCAGAGATTATTTATCGGGTATGCTTTTAATTATTTTTATAAACTGCAAATTTTTCCCTTAATCTGATAATGAGTGAGAATCATTTTTTTGAAATATACGCATAAAATAGTATAAGAGGGTTTTTTAAAAATTGTGAAGATCAAATTCAGTTATTACATAATATTACGCATTGTTAAATGAGTGTACTTTCAAAACTTATAGTGCCCTTTTTTGAGTGGCAGCACCCTCTCCTTCTTAATTCCTAGGTAAGACTCTGATTAATCGATTGAAAGCCAAATTTTCTGTAAAATCATAACCAAAATATTTTGTATTAAAGTTATCAGAAATCAATAGGTTTCACCTGATTTCGTTGTTAGAAAGGCTACTCTTTATGAAATCATCATCACTGCCATCAGACCACTCATCTTTTGGGGCAGAACTTTCTGCAACAAAGAAAAATACCATGCTATGAAAGAGCAAACAATAATCACGAAAATAAATCTTAAACAATTCTCTTTTTTTTTAAAAATATATCATGAACTAATTACAATGCATTGAAAATGTAATGCAATATTGTATCCAAGAGATCCCCATCCCCTGCTCTGTTCGTTCACCAATCTCCACGATTACTTCGTAATCATTTTTGCTTCAATGCGATAAACAGATTTTATCATCAAAATTAGAAATTATTAAATTTAAAAATCCCAAAATTCTGTTTTGTATTATCACACATTTGGTTTCACAAATTTAATTTTCGGTTCTACATAAATAAAATTTGAGCCTTATCAATCGCTCGGTTAATACTGCAACTAATTTATTTTCTGCATTCCTAATTAATTTCAGATTGCTATAAAAACTCTGAACATAATACTCCAGAAATTTCTTTTAGCAATAGTGAGAAATTTAATTTCTTATATAGTTTACATGCGTTGGCTGTACACAGTTTTACTTAAAATTTGTTATGAAAATAAATATGACATATTAAAAAATAATTTTTTTTTAATATTTAAACTAAACTTAAGAATTTTAAAACGGTAAATAAATATCTTTATCATAAAATACATCATGCGATTATGTACTTTATACAAAATATTATGTAATAAAGGCACTTTTAGACCTAGGATTCTAATTTTGAATAATAATCGAATTCAAATACGTACTAATAAAAGAAAAGAACGCTAAGAGATAATGATAAATAAATATTGTTAATTAAGTGATAAATAAATAATTAACATGCAAATACTGTAATTACTTTTATTTATTTCATGCTGATGATAGAAAAAAATATCTAGATCTTCTTAGTTTATTGATGATATCACATGATTTTAAATTTCTAATGAGGATGCTTAAAATGGTAAGATGATAAAAATCTTTTCACTTCACTTACAGATACAGTAAAACTTTTAAAGTATATTCTGAAGATGAACACTAAATTCATTTATTTTTCCTTGTGCTATATTTTTGAAAGATATACTTAAAGTTTTCTTTAGTTTTTTATTTTATAATCACCGTTAAACAGCCGACCCAATTTTGAGTTTACGTCTACCGATGTTCAACTCCGAAGCATTATAATTTTGAGCCCAATCCAGAGGACAAGAGAACTCTTGGATCAAGTATTGGGAGAAATTTGCTTTTCTGGAGGACTTTTTTTGATGGAACTAGCGCGAATTAACCTTACATGCAAGGAAAAACGCAAAAACCTCCCACGGTTACCCTGACGGCAAGGGAGGGGACTTAAACCGATGATCCACAAGCCACTGGAGACATTTTTCGCTAACACTGTAGTCAAGGCAAGTTGGGTACGGAATTCATATCGACCAGACATCGCTGGGATTCGAACTCCGGTAAACCTTATTTGGAGGCGAGCACTCAATCCACTGAGCCACCAAGGCAATATTTGTGAATTAAATGAATATGATGTCATTATAACAACAAAATAAAAATAAAAATAGCATTAATATATAACAAATGCTCTTTTTGTTAAAATGGGCATAGCAAAAATTGAGGCAATAGCTACAAATAAATATCGATGGAAACACGAAAACACGAAGCTATTTTGATACGATGAACAAGCATCATCATCTGTGCCAAAACACAGAATGACACCAATGATGATACTTGTTTATGAGTCATCACTTCCACATTATGACATAAAATGTTCGCCACAGATGACGCTTAATCATCATAGCATCGCAACAGCCGTATGTTTTGTAAAAATTTTTTTTTATATATATATATATATATATATATATATACTTGACTGCTCCTTTGAAAATAATACTTAAGGCATAAACCATACAACTTCAATTTAGCGCATCATAAACTGAAATGTATTANGCTGATAGGTAGTCTGAGGTATCTGGTACCAAGCGCTCACCAACTGGTCCTGCAATTCCCTCACATTGCGAGGGGGTAGCGTGGCAGCACGAATTTGGTTTTCCAAGTAGGACCACAAATACTCTATTGGATTAAGGTCAGGTGAATTTGGGGGCCAAGACATGACTTGAAAGTCACTGGAATGTTCCTCGAACTAATCCATGACGATTCGACCCTTATGAGATGGCGTATTATCCTGTTGGTAAACACCATCCCCCGCAGGAAAAAAATGTTGCCATGAATGGGTGAACCTGGTCTGCAGCTATGTTCAACTAGTTTACAGACGTCAGGGATTGTTCTATGAGGATTATGGGTCCTAATGTGCCCCATGAAAACATTGTTCCTGAGTGAGAAACCATGAAAACCTGTGCGAGCCCATTGTTATAGATGGAGAATGGTCATAATGTAATGGCTCTTCGGTGTATATATAAACATCACAAAAACCAAAAATCATTTTTAAGTGTTAAGAGTACTCACTAATTTTTGATTGAGCTTTTGGTGGAATGTTTTGGTACGGAAGCCGACCAGATGTTGTATAATAATCACTGCTGTTAGAATCCTGAGAATCAATGTAAATGGGTTCCTCAGAAATGTCACTCGCCTTTTCAATTTCTAAGTCTAAAGTTGAATAGTAATTTTGAACATCGTAGTAATTTCTGTAGTCAGAGCTTGTGAGTGAAACAGTTGAAGTAGTACTGCTTTTTGAGAGATCGCTTGATGCAGTTCGGGAGCGACACCAAAGAAAAGAAGGATTCGGTTGAAGAGTATATTCATTCTCTGTATTCGATTTTGGAGAACTATCTGCTGAGTTTTGTTTAAGAGACGTTGGACTTGAATTAGAAGTTGTGGGTAAGCTATTTGGTTTACAGTTTTGTTCTTTAGTTTCTTGCCCTTTATCTGCAATTCTTTGTTTTTCTAAAGGAAACTTTTTAGATGCGCCAACTAAGCTACTTGAATTCAAGATTTGCTTCGTATTTTTAAGTGTTTCTTCGTCTTTAACATAAGACTTAAAGCTAGACTTTTGATTCTTCGATATTGGTTTATTAGTTAACTGATATTTAGTTAAGAAACTCCGAGTTGATAAGAGGGGTTCACCAACGACTTTACTAATGTCAGTTTTTGAAGTACTTGGAGACTTGTCCTTTTGCACATTTTTAGCACCTATATTTGTTTTTGTAAATTCATTTTTTCTGGCCTTTAGAATTTTGACGTCATCGGTTTGAGCCTGGACTTTTTCATTAACTAGCTTTAACCGTCTTTGTGATTCTGGTGAAAGAAGAGCTAAACTGCCTTCAAAACTGAGTATCGCTCTTTGAACAATGTTCAATGATTTATCTCCATCTAAAGAATTTCTTCCAACTGCTGATGCCGCGTTTGAGGTATCTTGGCTATTTGGCGCATTTATGTTGATAGCTTGACTCTTTTCATTAATAATGTCTTTTAAGATAGATTTATCACAAATACTACTTGTAGTACTAGATTTGGCTAAAGGACGGCTGAACTCAGTTTTGGATGGAACACTTGAAGTTGTAACAGATTTCGTTAATGGGGTGCTCGTTTCTTTAGTGGGTTCAAGAAATTTGCTTCTCAAACTAGCCACTTTAGATTGACTAATGGTGTTTCCGGAACCCGTAGTATTTTCAGCGTTACCTTTTTTCATCCAATTTCCAGCTTCATTCTTTACCCATACTGTCTTAGAGCTCGATTGAGAATTTTTTACCACCTCTTTTATTTTTTCTATTTGATCATCAACCGGTAAAATAGTGTTTTGTTTGTTGGACGGGTTTGAAATCTTAGATACTTTATCCCTATTTAAAATATTAGTATGAACAGTTTCCTTTTCATTAGAAGTAACTGAATTTCTCACTAACTTGCTTTTGATTGATTTAGCACCGTCACGTTGATCTGATCGATTAAAAGTTAGGATAGGTTTATCGTCATGCTTTTGTTTAACTCGGTATAAATTTGGCTTGTAGCTTGTATTGCTAGTCGTGGAGGGATAAGAATTGGAGTTTAAAGAGTTCGTTTCTAATTCGCCTAATTTAGAATTCACAGCTAAATCGCTTGAAAAGGTACTAGCACAGGAACTTTTAGACAATAATGTCGATTTGGCGTTTAAGGTTTCATTGGATGGAATGTCGATATCAGAAAGCTCAGAAGAGACAGAAGATATAGAACATTTCTTTACAGAATTCGTATCAAGTTCAGAATTCTTAGAAGAATTGCTCGAAAGAGACACAGAGGAGTTCGTCAAGGAAGTTCTGGAGTGTGAAGTTTTTGATAAACTACTAGCATGAAGGGATGAAAGTTTGTTCGTAGTAGAATTTAAACGAGATGTTTTAGTAACAGACGAATGTAAATGCGATACATTAGCAGTATTTGTAAATGAATTTTTTGGTGAACTACATCTAGGCTTAGATTTATCTTTGCAGTTTAAGAGTTTGACAGTGGTACTTTCAGTCTTTCGTTTTTCATAGGAAGCCTTGGGAGATACCACACGTGGCGTGCTAGCAGATTTTGTGACAGATGAATCATTAACTTTTTTTAATTCAGTCCTTCCACAAACCTTAGCCTTACAAGCACCTAAGTGAACTTCAGGAACAAGAGAGTTCAAGATTTTGGAATTAGTTTGCTTTTTTACATCCGTTTCATCATCTTTAACAGATGACGTAGTTTTTTCAAACTTACTTTTCGTAGTAGCTGACCCATTTTCAAATTTATTTTTAATATGAGACCACTTAGGCGAAGAGGTTAGGCTCCCAACTGGATTAGTATTGTCATTGGCCGAATCCAAAATTTTTGTTTTTGAATCAAGCTGCATGCTTCGCCTTTGAGCAACACCGTTTGTTTTAGGTATAGACCTAATATTCACCGCATTCTTTTGGCGAGATGAAATACTTGATGCGCGGGGTCTACTTCCTTGTGCATTTGGCTCTTTCGGCTGGCAGGTAATCGATTCTACCTTTTTTGGTCGATTTGCAATGGATTTTATAGCGGAAGAAGAGAAAGCCATCTTGGATTTAACAAATATTTGGCAATGCTGCAAATTTTGGAGCAATTTAAATGGCTTCCTAGCATAAGTTGTTGGAGCAGTACTGGTGGTAGCATCTGCTTCGGTCGATACGGTTTTCATCATTGGTCACCAAGTAATAAAACATAAAATAAAAAACTGATAAGGATACTTCCAATGAAAGAGGTATTAACATTATGATTCGTTATGATACCTGAAAAAAAAGAAAGGAGTTTTAATTATATGTCCAAAGAGGGTTCATAAAATATATTAACACATAATAGGAAATTAATATGAAACTAATGAGTTTAAAATTAAATTAATACTGTGCGAATGCTGATTGATGGGTATAAAAAGGAAGCAACTTATTACTTAAATGAAAAATAGGTAACTAAATTTGCAGAGTAAAAAGCACAATATTTTTTTTAATATTAATACTAATTTGCGCTACGTGAATTAATCTTACGTTACGTTAAGAATAACGTGATCTTTTTCTCATAAGAAGTTAATTTCTAAAGGCAGTAACGAAAATTCAAAATGCCCAAGTTAAACAAAAATACTAATTTGGCATGGTTCATATTGCTTAAGTGACAATTTACGATGGGTATATGGACCCCACGAAAATTAGAAATCTCTTAAAGTCCTTCTTAGTATTTCAGACACATAATAAAAGATTTTATGAGTCATCATCAATTTCAATTCAGCTATTTATAAAGAAGTTAAACTTGGTTAAAATAAAACTATCAACTTAAAAATATTTAAAAGAAGGAAAAAAATATATATTAATATTTTTTTTCTGAATGACTATTATAACTCTATATATTAATTTCTCTCTCACACATTCCGCAAAAAAAATTGAATACCTAAGAAGCATTTGAGTGGCATTAACAATTACATAAATGACAATAAATTATGTATGAACAATGCATTTTTTATGGTTAGCATTTAATTTCGCGTTAAAAAAAATATAAAGACCCAAAATTTTTCATTATTCCTAATTTATTATAGAAAAAAATATATTAAATCACGTTCTTAAAATTATTCAGGGGAAAAAATTCAATATTGAGTAAACTTACTCTGTTATGAATCTAAATTATAAGAAAAACATATAAGAAATAAGAAAATATCATATAAGAAAACGCATATTGTACACTATAACATTATGAAAATTCGGAACAAAATATATTTCTTCGTTGCTTATTACTTTATTATCGAGGCAGATATCCGTTGGAATGACAAGTTTCAAATTCATTGACCTTAACCTTGAGATACGATTTTTCCAACCGAAGTAACATCGTTAATTAAAGGAAAGGAAAAAACGTTCGTTGGAAACGGACAGAAAGAAAAAGCATCATTTTAACATACACTCATTTAATGATATGAGTTGGCTCTGGTTAATTTCATTACGTTTTTACGTCGAAAACATCTTCATATCATATGTTATAAATTACAGACATTGTCTGAAGTACAAAATTTTAATATTAACGGAAATATTATAATTATTACAGATGTAAAGTGATTCCGAATACAGCGATATGTGCAAGTAGTATAAAAATGTATTAATTAACTAATTAAATGCTAAAAATTTTAAATGATAAAAATTTTAATTGAACAAATGATTTAATTAAATGATAAAATAACTTTCAATTAAAATATTAAATGACAGTTTAATATTTTGGTAAGTTTGATATCTTAATATTGTGAAGTTTTGATGAATTAAGAGCTCCTCACTCATTGTAAAATTGTGCCAATTATAAAGTTTGGATAATATTCTTTAAAATTGGCGATTATTCAATGATTTTTAACTATTCATTTCCCATTAACTTTTGCAAAATCAATTTTTAAAATAACACGCTGATTGTCAAAAGAAATATAAATATATTACATTAGTTTAAGACATATTAATAAAAGATATTACATTAGTTTAAGACATAAAAACTAAATTATTATATAGAAACACAAAATAAAAAAAACTAATCAATTATTAGTTTTTTCGGTTGAGAAACACATTATGCCTATCACTTCATCCGCAAAATTAGTTACACTTATTTTATGGATGAAATAAAAGAGCTTAACACTGTTTTTATTGCTTGAAACATTGATTCTTCTTATTTCCTGCATGCGATTAGAACGTAATACAATTATATAATTTCTAAACATTGTAATTTTAGCAAGTTAATGCCGAAGCTGCATATTTTGGAATATTTTGTTTATTAATATAAAATGGAAAATGACTAGAAAAATTACATGAACAAGTTCCTGTCTGAAAAATATGAAAAAGTCGAACATTTTGTCACTTTTTCAAATGCAACGCAAAATGTTAAAACAATATCAAAATCTAAAACTATTTAAGACTGCAAAGAGAAAAAAATTATTCGTAGAATGGGTTTTTTTTCCTAAAATAATCGCTGCATAAAAAACTTAAATTAATTAATAGTAAAACACACAATACTTTTCTTCTAAGCAGTGCGAAAAACTACAACCTCCGAATCACACTACAATATCAAAATCCTTAGTAAAAGTGAAACTACTTTATAAAATAAAAATTACTTAAATAACAGAGATAACTAATAATAATAACTTGATCCGTGTTTTCACTGATAAATGAATTTATGTTAATTTTATATCGAAAGAACAATTTTTGCCAACCTATATTGCATTTTAAATGAGCGCACAAGTTGGTTAAATAAAAATTTAGTAAATAAATTTAAATTTTCTGTTTTATTTTATTTAATGTTACTTTTTATTTTATTTTATAACCGTCATTGAAAAGGCGACCTAATTTTATGGGTTTACGACTACTAATGTTCAACTCCGTAGCCTTGTAATTTTGAACCCAATCCAGAAGACAAGGGATCGAGTATTGGGAGAAATTTGCCTTCGTGGAGGACTTTTTGATGGAGCTAACCCGCATTTGCGTTACATGGAGAGGAAGACCAAGGGAACCTCCCACGGTTAGCCTGACGGCAAGGCAACTCTAACCCATGATCCGTCTACCACTGAGGATATTTCAAGTCAGCACCGTGGTCGGTGCAAGCTGGATGCGGAATTCGTATCGACTGGGATTCAAACCCGGTTCACCTTATTGGAAGGCGAACACTCTATCCCCTGAGCCATTGCGGCTCATTTAAAGTTACTTGTCATGAGCTTGGTTAAAACCTACTGATATTAAAAAAAAAAACCTCGCTGACGAGATGCAGAGTAAAAAATTCCGGCATAAAAACCGGTACTCCCGGTGTTACTTTTTACCATAAGATCTATTTTTACCGGAACATGTTACGTAACAAAAACAAATCAGATATGCCGCAATTTTTTCAGTAATAATTACCGTAAAATCACTGAATCACTCTAAATTTAAAAAAATTACTGCAAAATTTATAGTATAATATTTTACGGTAAAATGGACTTTACGGATGATGCACCCAAAGTGCAGGTACTTTATACCGTAATTTGATCTTTTTTTTTTTTTTACAGTGTGCAAACATATTTGATTTAGACTAAAATCTACTTCATGTATCAAAAAAATCTGAGTCATGAATATAAAAATAAACCAATTTTATTATTCATCACTCCTCCAGAAATTAAACAGGATTCATGCTCGTCACTTCCAAGTTTAGGTATTCAGCATCGCACTTCAATATTGTCAACAATGCCATAGTAATGCATTCACCCAGCAAACTTAATGAATGGGCCTTTTATCGACATCAGAAATCTTATCAAACCAGTGTGTAATGAGTTCGCGTGAGAAAGAAAATAGCAGACTTCTTCAGAGGTAATATAAATAAGAGCTTATAACTAAGTAATGTTGAAAAGAAAAATAAACAGATGATATCAGATAATAAAATGAGCTGAGAAGATAAATATAACCAGATGGTTGGTTATTTGTTTAGATGTATTTAAAAAGTACCAAAAATATGTGATAATAAGCAACACTAATTTTATTGAAAGATCTAATTTAAAACAAAATAAAATAAGATCAGTTTGCAACTTATTACAGAAAATGTGAATGTGTCTATACTTTGTAACTTGAAAGAAAAACAACTATAAGAGTAAGCTATACCACGGGAGAAATTTTTGACGGCAAATTTTCCTTCACCTTCTTCGGAATTTGAAATTTTAATATATAAAGAAAAGTAAGTTCGTGCAAACCTAGAGTAAACTATGAAGTTTTAAATGCTGAAAAAAAATTTTCAAAACATCAAAACACAAATCTTAAGTTATAATGCCACAATTTTTTTGCATTCTGATATTTTGAAGAAAAAAAATTTCTGTACATAAAACTAATTGATTTACTCTAGATTTACAAGAACTCATTTTCTCTATATTTTAAAATACTTATGTAGCTGAAGCAGAATTTGGCATGAAAAGTTTTTCCCCACTGTATAGCGTCCTCCAAAGTGCCTAGTTTTTAAATATACATTTTTCAAATCAATCCTTAAATGGAACCTTTTATAAAACTGAAATAAATAAAGAAAGAAAGAAACATAAAAAATTAGCCGTAAAACAATTCAATGATAAATATGTTCCAATCAATTTTTCAAACACCAAGTCGCAGTAAGCGACTTATCAAATCAATATTTTAGTGGTGTTTTCTTGAAAAAAGTGGGAAAAAAAACTTGCACAAATAAATAAAAGAGAAAACAATTGTGCTTTTATTTTGTACATTTAGGGGGAATTTTATTGATGTGAGGAACAGAAAAAGCTTTTACTAAATTATCAACTTTGCTTCAAGTATCCACTGCTTGTGAAGAGGGAAGGGGAGGATATTATCAACATGACCATCATTTTAGGCATTTCTGTCCCCTCAGGGCAAGATTTACGTACTAAGAACTGTCATAATAACAGCAAAATAATAGGAGGATAGGGAACATAACACTGGGGAACAATTTTTTTGGTTACATTTACACAAATACCTGTTCTTGCCTACGTCACGTGAGAGATTTCAAATCTGAAATTAGTTTTTCTCCTAAAGCTATAGATTAAAAAAAAAATTATTTTAGTCTATTTTTTGTCGAAATGAGCAAGATTAAAAACGTTATAAATTACAGAGGGACACATAAATGTTGTGACAAACTTCTAGAGATGTTAGGGCACATCAGGCTAAAAATTGCATAGGAACCCTTGCCCGAAAATGTCGTCACACGGAGCTAAGGGCTCTTCTCTGTTATGGCCTATTCAGAATCACGTTAAAAAACAGATCATAATAAGAAAATG